CAACCCCCCCCCGCTTGGGGGGGGGGGTGAGTGGGAAGAGTCCCGAGTCCTCCTGATGCCCCATCCCTGGGGGAGTGCCCCTGAGCCTGGAGAGCAGCCCCCCCCTCCCTCTCCCTCTCCCCCAACCCTGTGTCTCCATGTGTTTCTCTTCTCCTCCTGCTGCGTCTCTCTCACTGTCCTCTGCCTTCTCCCTTCTCTCTGTCTCCTCCACATCCTCTGTGTGTGCTCCGCTTTCCTCTTTTTGAATCCGGTGCCCTTTCCTGACGTCAGAGACGCACGCTGATCCAGGCCCTGCCCCTGACTTCTGCGCCGCTCAGCCGGGCAGTGCAGACCCAATCGAATCATTCTCTCCCCTCCCAAATGGGCCAAAGTAAATACTCAATGTGACCGAAGCGATGGCTCCAGGCCTCTTCGGGATGCCTGAAGCGTTTGCCAGACCGCAAGAGATGCAGCCCACCTGGGTTTGTACAAGACCCTGCCAGCTGACACTATAAATCTGCGTCCGCAAGGCAGGGATGCTCGCCTCGCAGGTGGAACTGAAGCGGCGTCTAGCCTCGCGTGTGTTTTAAAGGTTCTGAGACTAGGCCTGTGCACTGCAAGTCTGTGCCAGTGTTTTTTGCCTGTCACGGACGTGAGACACTGTGAGATTTTCTTTTGACTGACGGAGCGGTCCTCTAAAACAATAGCAATACACTGGTGCGTTGCCAGCTTCTCTCTTCATCCAGCTCTGTCCCTGCCTCTCTCCCTGTAGCCCCACAAAGCCCGAGGAAATGAACTGGGCCGAATACTTCCCGGAGTTCTTCCCCCCCTTGAACAAAGATGACCGTCACGATGACCCAAAGGACTGCGAGGAAAGAGCGAAGCCCACAGACCACGTCGAGTTCGCGGATATTGGCTGCGGTTACGGGGGCTTGTTGGGTAAATTCCCGATCGTGCTTTTCCGTCGGTTTGGCTGCAGCAAGTTCTAGGTGGGCAGGTGTGGTTGAGGTTGCTTGGGAGGGACGGCCCTGAGCAGGGTGCGGGTTCACTGCGGGAAGCCCCGTAGCCTTCCAGATTCAGAATCGTGCCCAACTTCATGCTGTGAATCCAGTGAGCATCTCGGCTTGTTTGCCTGTCTGCTGACAGCCATGTGAACAGAGCAAGGAATCATGCAGTGATCCCTCCGTCATCCATTTCCAGCCTCTGACAAACAGAGGCTAGGGACACCATCTCTGCCCATCCTTGCTGATCAGTATTGATGGACCTAACCTCCATGAATTTTAGTTCTTTTCTGAACCCTGTTAAAATCCTGGTCTTCACAACATCCTCCGGCGAGGAGTTCCGCAGGTTGGCCGTGTGAAGAAAAGTTTCCTTTGGTTTGTTTTAAACTTGCTGCCTATTCATTTCATTTGGGGACCCCTGGTTCTTAGGGGAACAAGTAAATAACTTTCCCTTGTTCACTTTCTCCATACCAGGCATGATTTTATATGCCTCTAGCCTATCCTTCCTTCGTCTCCTCTTTTCCAAGCTTTTCTAAAACACGTGGCGAGGAGCTTCGCTGAGGCCTACTGCTGACTCACTAGTGGAACTAGCCCCTTGATCTGTTTGGTGCACAGCCCAGGCTCCGTGGGGCATTGTTGGCCGTGTGGCTCAGGGAGAACTGGGCTGTCTCCCTCCCCCCCCATAGATTATGTGGGGCAGAAGCAGCTGTGCCCATAACTCTGCTGCTCTTGTTGCATTGAACATGTGGCGATGAGCCAGGGTTGCAATCCTGGTAGGATGGTGTGTTCAGCCCAGGCTGCTGCCATTTCCCCTCCCTGGGCAAGCGGGAATGACCCGCCGGATACCCCAGTTCCCGGTGTGAGAGGCAGCTGATTTGTCTCCGGGGAGCAGCTCTCTGGGCCTTGCTCTTCAGACCACTTGTTGATTCCCTCTCTCCTTCCTGCAGTCGAGCTGTCTTCCCTCTTCCCCAACACCTTGATGCTGGGCCTGGAGATCCGCGTGAAGGTCTCGGATTACGTCCGCGACCGGATCCAAGCTCTGAGAGCCTCCCACCCCGGGCAGTACCAGAACATCGCCTGTATCCGCAGCAATGCCATGAAGCACCTGCCCAACTTCTTCCGCAAGGGGCAGGTGAGGTGCCAGCGGCCTTAGGGCTCCGCCACTGATGTCCCAGGCGGCCGCGGAACCTCCGGCTTTCATCCTCGTCACTCTTGGGGAGCACACAGCCCTCGCTCCCCACTAGGGATAGAAAATCCTGTTTCACCACTTAACCGGGATGCCCCTGGCCAGGGGCTGCTCCAGCCTAGACAGGCCCACCGCATCACAGATGCTCATCAGGCCAGGCTGGGGCCGCTGGGCCTGGATGCGCCTCTCCAGCTTGGGGAAGGACTGGGTGCGGAAGCTGATCTGGGTTAACTGTCCCAGGGGAGGGGAGGCCGTCAGCAGGTGGGCTAATAACTGGCAGCAGAGTTCCCTGGAAGCTGAGCGCTTGAGTGGCCGCCGAGGAGAGATTCAGGCACCACCTAGCTGATGAGCGGAGTGCCCCCAGCTTCTCGCACCTGGCAGCCTGTGTTGTGATTGGTGGTGCACATCTGTGCATGCATCAGTGCACAGAACAAAATTTATTCCACACACGGAAGGAAAACACGAGAGAGCACATTGGCAGGTCAGCCGGAGATTGCGTCCTGAGCCAATGGTGATATCCAGGGCTCGACAAATAATGTAATCTACTCGCCTGTGGCGAGTAGATTACAACCCGGAAGAGCCGACGCAGAACGGCGCGAGCATGCACAGAGCGCAGAACTGCACGGCTGGTGAGTGGGGCTCACCACTGCTTGGGTCCCTGTCTCCCTTCCCCCTCCACCTTCCCAGCCTCTGCCCTCCCGATTCAGGTCCGTGCCTGACTCCCCGTTCCCTCTGTTTGCAGCTGACCAAGATGTTCTTCCTCTTCCCGGACCCGCACTTCAAGAAGACCAAGCACAAGTGGCGAATCATCAGTCCAACGCTGCTGGCCGAATACGCCTACGTCCTCCGCGTCGGGGTGAGTGGGGATTGGTCGCTGGCCGGGGCGCCGAGGTTTGCATGGGGCCTCAGGGAAGGAGGAGCCCCTCTGGCTGGGGAGAGAGCCTCCCCCCGAAGAAGCTTAGCCCCTCCCTCCCCCTAAGGTCCTAATCAACCAGCCGGCACCCGTTAAAGGCCCCGGTTTCCTGCAACATGCTGGTGGCAGAGCTCTAGGTTGCTCCAGCGTTAATTTCCTAGGGCTCAGAAGCAGGAAGAGTCTGTCCTCTGCCAACGGACGCTGTAGGTCCATCCGTCCCAGCAGGGAGTGAGCTGCCCGGGAGCCGTGGGGCGCAGCACGGAGGGGTGACCCTTTGCCCCGCTTCCCGCAGAGGCGGCTTCCTGTTGGCAGAGCCCGCCTGGCGCCTGCCCTCCGCCGTTCCCACCTGTCCGCTCATGACTGAGCTGCCTTGGGCAACCCGGCGGCTCCTTCCTGTGCCGTCACCTTGGGCTCATAACCGGCCGCTCGCGTGGGGGCGAGAGTTCCATGAGTCACCGGCAAATCCGCTAACGTGAGCCCCCCCAGGGTAGGGCTGTGGTTGCCAGCTCTCCAGGACGGGCCCTGGAGTCCTCCAGGAACCAAAGGGCGTGTGTTCATTGCAGGTGATGCCGCGGGAGGAAACTTCCTGGAATTTGTTTTCTCTCCCTTCCCCCCCCCCCCCAAAAAAAACTCGACCACTCTGGGGGGCGGGGGGCGAGGGCCTGGCAAAGGCAGCTCTTCTGCTGATTGCTGGGGGTGGGGTGAGGAAGCAGCCTCATGAATTATTCAGGAAGCATAATTGGCCGGGCAAATTAGAGTTGGCACCTTCCTTTGGGAGCCGTCCCCAAGCAGCTGTGAGCGAAGATTCCCGGCCCCCTCCCCCCATGTTTCTGTAGGAGCGGAGCGTTTCCTCTCCCCCAACCCTGTGTCTCCAAGGCAGGGATGTTAAAATCCTCGTTAACATTTGCCCTCTGGGGTCTTACTGCTGCCTGCCCGGAGTGAGGCGTCTCACCCCCCCCCCCCAAGCCAGCGGAGGGGCCCTGACACTCCAGCGGCCCTGCGGGGGGTGCTGATCCCCTGGGATCCTCGCACTGCTCCGTCTCGCACTGATGGGAGGGCGTCTCGTGCAGGGCTTGATTTACACCATCACCGACGTGGCCGAGGTGCACGAGTGGATGGTTGGGCACTTCAGCGAACACCCGCTCTTCGTCCAGGTGCCCGTGGAGGACTTGGTAAGAGGGAGGGAGGCAGCTTCCAGGCCCGGGGAGGGGCAGGAGCCCGGAAAGGGGAAGGTTTATGCCGTGCAGGGCCCCTGCACCCACCCTGGGCTGACTCAGTCCGCCTGCGTTTCTTCCCCGGACCCGGGCTTTACAAGAAGCTCACACAAAGCTGGAAAGTGAAACCTGGTCCCGCACCACAACCTCTTCTCTCTTTGCACGGGCCCACGCTGGCGGCGTATTGCAGGGCTGTGCGGGAACTGGGAGGAGAGGCGAGTTTGCTCGGTTTCGGGCCCCAGCCAGAACCCCCTGCGGCCGTCCGGCTGGGCTCTGCCGCGGTCCCCGTAAGCTGAGCAATTGGGCGGCTGCGCGCGAGCGCGTCGAACGCCACCCAAGGGATCAGCCCGGCG